CGTTTCTGTCTTTTTTCCTGATGATAGATTCGCCACGGACTCCGAAACGTCAAACGAATAAAGTTTTTGTCTCAGCGATCACACCTACGTCTTCATAATTACTTCTTGGGACTCCTGTTTTCGCTTGTTCTGGCAAGACTGCGAGTCTCAGCTTTGCATGATGAATAGCTTCTCATACGGGGAAAATCGCAGGTGTTTAGCCAGCGTCCGAATAGGCGGAAAGCAAGTTAATTGGTCGAAAAAGCTAATTCGTCAATCCGTAGAAGGGGAGTGCCTGCCTATACACTTTTTGCAGACCATATAATTGGGCTAAGGTCATTTCCTGCGTTCTCGGTATGGGTCGGTCAGTCGCGATTTTGCACCTGATTTCTACATTGTCAATAACGTAGCAAGGATTGCGCTTGCCAACGTTTTCACGGGAGTATGTTTCTATGGGGCATAGGACTGACGATGCTCCAGCAAGCTTTTGACGTTTCGAAGCTAGTCTGTTCCGTCTAATACAACAGTAGAACGCCCCTGGTCTGCAGGCACGATAACGAGGTCTCCGTCTGTGTGGAATCCACTTGCTGCACCGCGCCTGATGGTTATTCCCGGTCTGTGTTACTCTACAGTGTTGGAAGCCACGGTGGATGAACTGGACTGATTGATTACAATATCGGAGAGAATGTCGTTTTAAATAGACGGACTTTTCGGGCGTCAAGAGGGCTTGTTTGGAATCTAAAATAGTTGCGTTGTTAAGGGTAGGATTTGAAATACGTTTGGGGGTTAAGATTAGAACACGGGGGATAGGTATCCTTCTGGAACTATAATGAAATGTCATCCGTATTACAGGACTGAAAATAAATTTAGAATAATAACTGGCTAGGAAATAACTAGGTCTCAATGAACGAACAGGCACTTTCTTGCCTTTGCGGTAAGTCTTTTTAGGGCCGATCGAATGAATTCAGTGAAAAAGCGCCAGAAATCCAGACACCCCTTAATGCGCAGCCGGTAGCCCGTCCTCCGCTGAAGGCTTCAGTGAATAAACTGTCCGTTCCAGTGATCGACTTCTCAATCCCACTCTCACACACTCTGCGCTTTACTTTTTCGACTGTGGTCATCTAGAAGGCTTTTTCTCATTGCTTCGCAAGTCTAGGCGCAACTCTTTTCGCTGGACCCAAATAAACAAATTGTTACCCCTGTCCCGTTCAAACTTCCTCAAGGGTGGGGGGGGGTAAGTTTTGGACGAACACCAACCATACGGAT